TGATTGGCTGCTGATGACCTATTCTAACAGGGTAGTGTGATATATGATTGGCTGCTGCTGACCTATTCTAACAGGGTAGTGTGATATATGATTGGCTGCTGATGACCTATTCTAACAGGGTAGTGTGATATATGATTGGCTGCTGATGACCTATTCTAACAGGGTAGTGTGATATATGATTGGCTGCTGATGACCTATTCTAACAGGGTAGTGTGATATATGATTGGCTGCTGATGACCTATTCTAACAGGGTAGTGTGATATATGATTGGCTGCTGATGACCTATTCTAACAGGGTAGTGTGATATATGATTGGCTGCTGCTGACCTATTCTAACAGGGTAGTGTGATATATGATTGGCTGCTGATGACCTATTCTAACAGGGTAGTGTGATATATGATTGGCTGCTGATGACCTATTCTAACAGGGTAGTGTGATATATGATATCAGATGTACTCACAAAGTTTCATGAAGAAATATGGAATGGTTTAAGAGTTATGCTCCTCAAAATGGAATCCCCATTTGTACAAGGCCAGCTTCATCCCTTGAAAATACAAATTATAAAAGTTAAAAAATTCTTGAAAGCAAAAGGCACCAGCTCAACGCATGCTGGTGTGTATACAACATGTCATAAAGAAATATCGGGCATAAAGAACGGTTTATGAGTTATGCTCTTGAAACAAAATGTGACGAACAGAGCCCTTTTCTTTGTCCCCCGCAAAACGTTATTTGGGTGGGAGATAGTAAAATAACTGAAAGTGAGCAGAGTAACATGTACCGGTACAAACAAAACAGAATCCGTACCAATTAACAGCAAGTAGAAGATGAATAAACATACGTAGACCCCTGTCTATCTGATCACATTTGTTTCTTGTTTAACGCCGCACTCGGCAACATTCCAGCTATATGACGGCAGTCTGTAAATAATCGAGTCTGGACAAGATAATCCAGTGATTGACATCATGTGCATTGATCTACGCAATTAGGATACGTTGACATGCATCAACCAAGTCAGTGAACCTGACCACCCACCTGTTTTAGTCGCCTCTTACGACAAGCATGGGTTGCTGAAGATCTATTCTACCCTGAGAATCTTCACGGGACCTGATCCCATGTACATACAAACATCACATACACCCCATGAAGCGTCTACCCTGCTTACGTCATTGGTCACATTCTGTTTAGGGGCTCAAAAAGAGGTGAGGTGAGGAAAAGGGGTGGGGTCATATATTACTACCTTCTGTTTGACCCATTATTTTTCGGATTTCTTTAGATCAACTTTGTTGAACTTGGGATGTAACATCCTGAACATTGTCAAACTTGGGACGTAACTTCTTGAACTTTGTTGAATTTGGGACGTAACTTCTTGAACATTGTCAAACTTGGGACGTAACTTCTTGAACATTGTCGAATTTGGGACGTAACTTCTTGAACATTGTCAAACTTGGGACGTAACTTTTTGAACATTGTCGAATTTGGCACGTAACTTCTTGAACATTGTGGAACTTGGGACGTAACTTCTTGAACATTGTGGAACTTGGGACGTAACTTCTTGAACATTGTCGAATTTGGGACGTAACTTCCTGAACATTGTCAAACTTGGGACGTAACTTCTTGAATATTGTTGAATTTGGGACGTAACTTCTTGAACATTGTCAAACTTGGGATGTAACTTCTTGAACTTTGTCAAACTTGGGACGTAACTTCTTGAACATTGTCGAATTTTGGACGTAACTTCTTGAACATTGTGGAACTTGGGACGTAACTTCTTGAACATTGTGGAACTTGGGATGTAACTTCTTGAACATTGTGGAACTTGGGACGTAACTTCTTGAACATTGTGGAACTTGGGATGTAACTTCTTGAACATTGTGGAACTTGGGACATAACTTCTTGAACATTGTCAAACTTGGGACGTAACTTCTTGAACATTGTCAAACTTGGGATGTCACTTCTTGAACATTGTCAAACTTGGGACGTAACTTCTTGAACATTGTTGAATTTGGGACGTAACTTCCTGAACATTGTCAAACTTGGGACGTAACTTCTTGAACTTTGTTGAATTTGGGACGTAACTTCCTGAACATTGTCAAACTTGGGACGTAACTTTTTGAACATTGTCGAATTTGGCACGTAACTTCTTGAACATTGTGGAACTTGGGACGTAACTTCTTGAACATTGTGGAACTTGCAATTGGGACGTCACTTCTTGAACATTGTCGAATTTGGGACCTAACTTCCTGAACATTGTCAAACTTGGGACGTAACCTCTTGAACATTGTCAAACTTGGGACGTAACTTCTTGAACATTGTCGAATTTGGGACGTAACTTCTTGAACATTGTCAAACTTGGGACGTAACTTCTTGAACATTGTCAAACTTGGGACGTAACTTCTTGAACATTGTCGAATTTGGGACGTAACTTCTTGAACATTGTCAAACTTGGGACGTAACTTCTTGAACATTGTTGAATTTGGGACGTAACTTCCTGAACATTGTCAAACTTGGGACGTAACTTCTTGAACTTTGTTGAATTTGGGACGTAACTTCCTGAACATTGTCAAACTTGGGACGTAACTTTTTGAACATTGTCGAATTTGGCACGTAACTTCTTGAACATTGTGGAACTTGGGACGTAACTTTTTGAACATTGTGGAACTTGGGACGTAACTTCTTGAACATTGTCGAATTTGGGACCTAACTTCCTGAACATTGTCAAACTTGGGACGTAACTTCTTGAATATTGTTGAATTTGGGACGTAACTTCTTGAACATTGTCAAACTTGGGATGTAACTTCTTGAACTATGTTTAATTTGGGACGTAACTTCCTGAACATTGTCAAACTTGGGACGTAACTTCTTGAACATTGTCGAATTTTGGACGTAACTTCTTGAACATTGTCAAACTTGGGATGTCACTTCTTGAACATTGTCAAACTTGGGACGTAACTTCTTGAACATTGTCGAATTTGGGACGTAACTTCTTGAACATTGTCAAACTTGGGACGTAACTTCTTGAACATTGTTGAATTTGGGACGTAACTTCCTGAACATTGTCAAACTTGGGACGTAACTTCTTGAACTTTGTTGAATTTGGGACGTAACTTCCTGAACATTGTCAAACTTGGGACGTAACTTTTTGAACATTGTCGAATTTGGCACGTAACTTCTTGAACATTGTGGAACTTGGGACGTAACTTCTTGAACATTGTGGAACTTGGGACGTAACTTCTTGAACATTGTCGAATTTGGGACCTAACTTCCTGAACATTGTCAAACTTGGGACGTAACTTCTTGAACATTGTCAAACTTGGGACGTAACTTCTTGAACATTGTCGAATTGGGGACGTAACTTCTTGAACATTGTCAAACTTGGGACGTAACTTCTTGAACTTTGTTGAATTTGGGACGTAACTTCCTGAACATTGTCAAACTTGGGACGTAACTTCTTGAACTTTGTTGAATTTGGGACGTAACTTCCTGTACATTGTCAAACTTGGGACGTAACTTTTTGAACATTGTCGAATTTGGGACGTAACTTCTTGAACATTGTGGAACTTGGGACGTAACTTCTTGAACATTGTGGAACTTGGGACGTAACTTCTTGAACATTGTCGAATTTGGGACGTAACTTCCTGAACATTGTCAAACTTGGGACGTAACTTCTTGAACATTGTGGAACTTGGGACGTAACTTCTTGAACATTGTCGAATTTGGGACGTAACTTCCTGAACATTGTCAAACTTGGGACGTAACTTCTTGAATATTGTTGAATTTGGGACGTAACTTCTTGAACATTGTCAAACTTGGGATGTAACTTCTTGAACTTTGTTTAATTTGGGACGTAACTTCCTGAACATTGTCAAACTTGGGACGTAACTTCTTGAACATTGTGGAACTTGGGACGTAACTTCTTGAACATTGTGGAACTTGGGACGTAACTTCTTGAACATTGTGGAACTTGGGACGTAACTTCTTGAACATTGTGGAACTTGGGACGTAACTTCCTGAACATTGTGGAACTTGGGACGTAACTTCAGAACGTTTTGAACTTGAGCCATTAAACTCACTCCTATCTATTATCAAACATGTTACAGGACTCAAAATATTCTGTGCAAAGGAGCCTGACTTGCATAACAATAAACAGGAAAATTATTTGTGTATTCATTCCCACCAATTTCCTAATTCTAATAAACATCTACCAGTAAACAAAGATGATAAACAAGTATGCTGGGAGTGAGTGAGATGGGTTGAACTCTTTCAGCAGTATTTAAGTAACAACACAACGCCTCAGCTTGACGTGGAGGGAAACCCAGGAGTGATGCTGGTCTTGGACATTTACCACTGTGAAAACTTGCAAGCACTGGCAATAGCGTTGACCAACCTAGGCTACAAAAAAAATAACAGTCTTGGTTCTCAGGCACCGCCCAAAACATCATAAAGTTTGACATACATTGTGGTGCTTCAGGCATTTGTAATAATCGAAACAGAGTCCTCATGACAATTATGATATTGCATCAATAGTTCGCCAGGTCCCAATGAGTGGCCTTCACCTTCCATGTCACCCATCAAGGAAATAGTCTAGCTCCTTCCAAGTGCGTGACACCTTCGTTACACACTCGGCAACATCGCTGCCACCAGTGAGGTCGCGGCCATTACATTCTTACTGTACCAATTACATCATAGTTGAAATGAAAAAGAAATTCAAATTGACAATCAAAGAAAATAATTTCGCTTGGGTAAGAGTATTCAGCGTCATGACAGTCATTACTTGTTTGTAAACATGACGGTCAGTCGGCTGCGAGTTCAACTCCAAGCATGGTTGTATGTTTGTTTGTTGTACGCAGCTCTCAGCAATATTCCAGCTATATGACGGCGGTCTGTAAATGATTGAGCCTGGGGCCGACAATCCAGTGATTGACATCATTAGCATAGATCTACGCATTTGGGATATGATAACATGCATCAACCAAGTCAGCGAGTCTGACCACCCGATCTCGTTTGTCGCCTCTTACAACAAGCACAGTCGCCTTTTACAGCAAGCAAGGGTTGCTGAAGACCTATTCTACCCCGGATCTTCAAGGAGCATGGTTGTGGCCACCTATCACAGTGGGGCGCTTTGAATGGTGGCAGCGACGGTATGGAGAGCTCCGCGAATGGGCTATCGCTGTGAGGAGCTTCTGATATAGTAGGTATAAAAGTCTGTTGTGAGCCCCTGGATGAAATAACACAATATGGCAGTGGTCAAACTCAAGGAAACCTGTGAAACACAAGCTGCATGTACTGTCAAAAATAATATCCAGTCAAGTTGAAATGTTCCAAGGCAATGTCAACGTTGTCAAAGGGGGATAACTCTCATCACTTCTTTTCCTGAAGACTATTTGTTATGCAGTATGATTTTCTAAAAGCATGAGAAAATACATAAAATAAAATTTGTCTAAAGTAAGAAAATAATTAGTTTTAGCAGGTACACTCTATTGAGAACAATTTTTTTGTTATTTTCTCTTATTATTTATCTAGAAAATTTGTTAAAATAATTATTTTTGGAGTTCTAAATCCATAGATGTCAAAATTACTTATAAATCTAAAATATGTTTTACTGTTTTAAATTAACATTTTCAGATTTATATCAATATGAAAATAAAATTATAACCTTTCACTAGAAACATTGCTTAAAAATATAAAGTTTCAAGATATTTCTTTAAAACATAAAAAAAACAGTTCATGATTTTTTCTTTAAGTATTGGTATGTTCATAATTAACCTTAATAATGATAATGTTCCCCACCAAAGATATCTTAAGTCTTTTAGTCTGTAAATACTCAGGTATTTCTGACTTGGTTCCCCCACTTCAGGCTCTAAATCTCCTGGACTATCAGAACACAAGCTGCAAGTACTGTAGAAACAGCTGACACTTGGTCCAGGAATACTCTAGTGAAGATGAAAATACTATCTTATGACAGAATCAGTTTACAGTTTACAGTTGGAATCGTTGACATCAACAGTCCGAAACACTGTCGGAGTGAAAGATAACAAGGCCATTACAACGCTGACTGTACTGTACTTCTTGAACATTAAGCTAAGTATGTGCGGACTGTGGATCGGATTGCTCTCCGGCAGACCGGACACTCCCCGATGTGATGGGTACATTCCTCACAACAAACAAGATGGCCGCAGGGCTGGAAGGTGACCTCGACCTCTCGCTCCATGCAGATCTTACAGATGATTCGATCCTCGGGGTCCCAGTGTGAACCTGGGGACACAGAACAAGACTCATGGATGGATGTGACGTGATGTAAAGTGATATCGTTCTTTAATTGTGGAGAATACATTCTTGATCATTCAGTCATCAACTACATCCAACAATGAAAGAAGTTAATGAGTGAGTGAGGGAAGAGAATAACCAACGAGCTATGAGGAATAACAGATAATCTGTCCCCTGTGAATGAACTGGCGAGGGACTTGCAGCATTCATTCATGAGAGACAGAAAACCTGTCCCCTGTGAATGAACTGGCGAGGGACTTGCAGCATTCATTCATGAGAGACAGATAACCTGTCCCCTGTGAATGAACTGGCGAGGGACTTGCAGCATTCATTCATGAGAGACAGATAACCTGTCCCCTGTGAATGAACTGGCGAGGGACTTGCAGCATTCATTCATGAGAGACAGATAACCTGTACGTCTGAGCTTTAAGTAGGTTTCTCCATATGTGACCCACCATGAGTGAGTGAGTGAGTTGTGTTAAACGCCGCTTTGAACAGTATTCCAGTTAAATCACGGCATGTCGGCTTAATGTAGGATGAAAGCCTGAAGTGATGCAGGTCTTAGACATTTACCACTTCAGTGAAACCCACGAGCACAAGTATGGTGCTGACAAACCTAGAAACATAATCGGGGCGAACCGGGATTCGAACCCACTATCAGAGGTTTCTGGCGTGCCCAAGGGACGCAACTCTGCATAGCGAATTGCAGCACCTTAGACGGCTGGGCCCACCAATGGGACCCAATGGGTGAAACATTGACTTTTCATTAAATCTTAAAACTACAGCATCTTCAGAACACAAAAATACAATTCACAAGCTTCAATTCATATTTATTATAGAGATACATGATCTTCACTGAAGTAAGTTGACGTCAAACGTCTTAATATTGTCACAGCACAATGATATCCCAGCAACCATACTTCTTTTCACCTGCTGGGTCACATATATTGACATTTAAAGAGAAAAAAACAACAAAAAAACGTATGAAATTTCAACCCCACAGAGAAACTTCACTGAAGGCAGCCAATTGTTAAGATGACATAATGAAATCAGTTTGTGACAACTTAAACAATGGATGACGTCATTGTAATCTCAACAATGAAACATTTAGATGTCACAGAGCATCGAAGGCCCAGTCAGCATTGAGAATCGCAAAAATGCACATGAGCAAATATGGAAATGCTGTTACACATGAGCTTTCTTCCATTATGGGTAATATTGTAGTTTATTCCCAGTGAAAAATATTCCACCGAGACCATAGCATTGTGTAAACATTCTGGGCAAGCTGAACCAGGTGTTGAGTGCATGAGGAATGCCACACAGTGTCTGAAATAACTGCCTTCCTGCCTGCCCGCCTGCCCACCTGCCCGCCCGCCCGCCCGCCCGCCCGTCTGCCCGCCAGCCCACCTACCCGCCCACCCGCCCGCCCGCCCGCCAGCCAGCCCGCCCGCCCGCCCGCCCGCCCGCCCGCCCGCCCGCCCGCCCGCCCGCCCGCCCGCCCGCCCGTCTGCCCGTGGCTGGTAACTTTTCTAACTGGCTGCATGAAATGTTCCTCCACCTGCCCGCCTGCCCACCCGCCTGTCTGCCCGCCAGCCCACCTACCCGCCCGCCCGCCCGCCTGCCCGCCAGCCCGCCCGCCCGCCCGCCGCCATCCCACCTACCGGCCCGCCCGCCCGCCCGTCTGCCCGTGGCTGGAAACTTTTCTAACTGGCTGCATGAAATGTTCCTCCACCTGCCCGACTGACTGGCAAGTAAGTTTAAGACTACTTAAGAATTATAACCTTTAAAGATTCTCAAGTAAATGCTTGCGTTATTTTGGCTGAATCAAGACACAATTTGTCTCTCAGTTTTTGTGATTTTTTAATATTTATAATGCCTGAGAGTGGGCAGGTAACTTTGAAGATTGGCAGACAAAACTTATGGATCACCTGCCCGACTGTCTTGTTGGCTCCTAAAATTACTTCGAACACTGATGACACATACCATGGGGACAAGAAGACACACTATCAGGTCACACACTGAAACCAAACGATCTCAATAAAACAAGCATGGGTACTGGAGATGCTTTCTACTGTGTCAGGGGATGGAAGGCATGGCTGAAATAGATCATGTTCCAGGAATATCCCAGCGGGGCTCCTGAACAACACAGCTAATAGTGTTACTGTATGGACACTGAGTTCAGGCAGTAGAGATGGGTCATGCTTCCCCACCCAATGTAACCATGGTAACCAGCCTACCTGATGGGCCAGGACGAGCCTGTGATGCTGATCCGGAGCCACCTTTTTCCTCCTGGTCCCTCATAACGGCTTCCATCAAGCTTTGCACATCAATTGGAGAATTTGGACCTGGTGGACAGAGGAGAAAACATGGCAGTCAGACCGTGCTGTGAGTGAGTGTTGGTTAATGCTGCAGTCTCCCTGTACATGACTGCATCTTGACCAGATACATTTACTGTACTGGGGGCCAATTTACTGTAAATGCGGAGTACTACAAACACAGGACAGAAGGAAGAGATGGACACGCACCTCGTAACCGCTTGAGATCAAGCAGAACCCTCTGTACGACCTCCACACTGTAGCCACTCTCCACTACTGCCTGGATCATGGGAGACCACTCTTCATGGCGTCTTTCTGTCATTCCATAACATATTAGTATATCACACTGATTCCAAAAAATATTCCATAGTAATACATATACTTTTCATGGAAAAAATTTTCATTAATTATATTGGTTAAACAGGCCGACCAATGAGACAGACTAAGATGTGTCAAAGAAGCTAGAAATATGCTGTTATTTGACCAACAGAGCTGAAATATGCATAAAGTTAACTGACTAAACTACTTGTGTTGGTTATGAGACAATCAAGTACTTGGTAACATGGATGTCTTTCATTTTAAAAGTGCTTGGTTGTTTTCTGAGTCCGGGATCAACGTTTAAATTGTTTGCTCGTGGTTTCAGGCCACACTCAGTAATAATCCAACTCAGTGACAGTGGCCTGTAGATACCTGGATCAGTCTGGATCAGACAATCTAGTGATTGATATTATGAGCAGTGATCCACACTGTTGGGGTTGGAGGACACACAATCAACCACGTGACCGAGCCTGACCAATGATCCATGGTGTAGCATCATCAGTGACGGAGGTCCAATTCTAACCTGGAATCCCCACCTGTAGACCAGCATAGGTAACTAGGGACCAATTCTAACCTGGAATCCCCACCTGGAGACCAGCATAGGTTACTGGGGGACAATTTTAACCTGGAATCCCCACCTGGAGACCAGCATAGGTTACTGGGGGACAATTCTAACCTGGAATCCCCACCTGGAGACCAGCATAGGTTACTAGGGACCAATTCTAACCTGGAATATCCACCTGTAGACCAGCATAGGTTACTGGGGACCAATTCTAACCTGGAATCCCCACCTGCAGACCAGCATAAGTTACTGGGGGCCAATTCTAACCTGGAATCCCCACCTGCAGACCAGCATAAGTTACTGGGGGCCAATTCTAACCTGGAATCCCCACCTGCAGACCAGCATAAGTTACTGGGGGCCAATTCAATCTTGGGCTTGGAGAATAGAGACACAAATCTCATCCTGTGATTAACACATCCAACATTCAGTCAACTCACCTGGTACAGGAGATTCCCTGTGGGGCGACTGCGGCACCGACTGGAATACAGATCATGTTCACGTGACATTTTTACCTTAACACAACCAGATTAAGGGTAAATATAGACCAGATTACAATGTAATTATAAATGATATTTATAATGACCATATTAAGGGTAAACATAAATCAGATTCCAATGTTATTATAAACGATATTTTTAACAATCAGATTAAGGGTAAAAATAGACCAGAATTCAATGTAATTAGAAAGGATGTACGCTAACATGTTGTTAACATCCAGATAAAGGACCAAGGAAGCGAAAACTTGACGACTTTCGGGAAATATAAGATTTCATAATATCCACGTACCTATTTTTGTTTTATTTTCATTGTTTACGTAATTGGAAAATCAGTTTAAATCAGAATTATAAATAGTTTCTGTCATCACCCATTTCCCGATAACAGCGACTGTCCACTCAGTAAAATGAAGAAATACCCCTTGTTTTCGAGGTTTCTGGGAAATAACACGTTCGTCGGCTAGAATGGCATATGACACACCACTGGAAAGCTTATTCCTTCATCTATACGCTCGTAACATCGCCTGTTTTTTTTCCGTAGTTATAACAAGCGATCTCATTGGATTAAAATTGGTTTCTAACGACGCTTTCTTGCGGAAATCTGCTACAAGTTTCGTGATTGGTCAATTTTGAGCACGTGACCTAAGGCAGCCAATCAAATTACAGCTGTGATACCAAGCTCGTGTTTGATAAATTACAGAAGTTGGCGGAAGATTTTTGTTAAATCGTATTATTCTGAACGTTTTGAGCAGGAAATCACGATATATATTAAAAATATGGAACTTCGTGAATGTATCGTGCTAGGTTACAAGCTGTGACAAAGATTTTTCATGCATATATTTTTGCATTAAACATCGTGTCCGAGCCGAGAACTCAAGGCGATGGAAGCCGAGACTTCATTTGAATTACATTACACGCGATCGCACGAAAAAGATGGAAATAATAACTTAGATGTAAGTTTGATTACTTTTAGATATATTTTTGTTGATTTTATTTATTACTTTGTATGATATATTGAAGATTTGTTTAAAACGTCTTTATTTTGCTCTTTGACATGTTCGATGTGGACCCGTTGTCGAAATGTGTGTCCGAGAATTTTATTTTCAATAACATCGCGGGAAATAGTGAATAATTTTTTAATTTATCGATAAAAAATGATAAATTGAAATGGAATATGTATTTCAGACATTGTGAAATGTGATAGATTTAATAAATGAATGATATTACAGGTAGGTCCATAAAAATATATACTATTTTGACGTGACTACGGCTTGGCCGGTTAACCAGCCTACGGTGTCTGGGGACTCGATGCTTCTTGGCCTGATAACCGGCCTACGGTGTTGAAAGAGTTAAGGGTAAATATAGACCAGATTACAATGTTATTGGAAATGTTATTTATAATGATCAGATTAAGGGTAGATATAGACCAGATTACAATGTAATTAGAAAGGATATTAATAATAACCAGATTCAGGGTAAATATAGACCAGATTACAATGTCATTAGAAAGGATATTTATAATAACCAGATTAAGGGTAAATATAGACCAGATTACAATGTTATTAGAAATGATATTTATAATGATCAGATTAAGGGTAAATATAGACCAGATTAAAGTGAGTGAATGAGTTGGGATTTACGCTGCTTTTAACAATATTCCAGTTATATCGCGGCGTGTCAGCTTAATGTGGGAGGAAAGCCCGAAGTGATGCAGGTCTCAGACGTTTACCACTTCGGGGAAACCCACGAGCACGGGTATGGTGCTGACAAACCTAGAAACATAATCGGGGGGAACCGGGATTCGAACCCACAATCATAGGTTTCTGGCGTGCCCAAGGGACGCAACTCTGCACAGCAAATCACGATGACTGGGCCAACCGTGACCCCAGACAAGATAACAATACAGTTAGAAATGATATTTATAATGATTAAATTAAGGGTAAATATAGACCAGATTACAATGTTATTAGAAATGATATTCATAATGATCAGATTAAGGGTAAATATAGACCAGATTACAATGACAATTGGCTGTACGCAATCAGCAGTGAATCAATACAATCAGCGGTGACGGATCAACCTTGTTAGATTTGCATTGTGTTAATCTTACCTGTACATGTAATCTTGTCTGTAAAACGAACATTAAACATATACACTGCTAATACAAATCAATGCTGCAATTACTTGTACCGTATTTTCTTGAGTATAGTGCGCACCCATGTGTAATGCGCACCCCCCTCTAGCAGGTTCAATATTTTGGAAAAAAAGAAATTTGAATATTATGCGCAGAAAAATTTACACCATCCCCTTCAGCGAAGTCCGGCAAACGAATGGATGATGAGAAACTTCGTCAGTACAAATTCGAAATTTGAGATACAAAAATCACCAGACATGTTGATTTACCATTTAAATTGTATTTTTTGCTCGGCTAGGCATTGTTTTATATCCAGGGATTAAGATTACCTTGTGTATTTTCTCGTAAACTAAGCCGGACACAGCAATCAGCTGTACACACGTTTTCTTGGAATCTACCGGTGATTCGGTCAAGACACACCCAATGATATAACTTTACAGGATTTTAATGCAAGGATCGGCAAAAGTTGTCTCTGAAACTATTTTTTTTATCAGGAATAATATATTACAATATCTTGTTAATTTAGCTGCAGCTTTTACTAAACATATTTAAAAAAACAAAAACCCTAAGCGAAGCAGCTGATCGCTATTGCCGGTTATTATTTTTTACATGGAACCAGTCTGACCAGTCACCGTCAAGGCTCCCGTGCACGTGATCGCGAGAATTACGTGTTGACATAGAATCGGCCAACAAAAACAAATATGACTTTTAACGAATCAAAGTATGGCATTTATGATATATGTATCCATTCTCTGTCAACTAAAGTTTGTTTCAAGGCGTCAATAGTGGTAATCTGACCATGGTTGCTGTTAATAACGGTGAGTTGTGTGATCTTCCGATCGCTTCACACACGATTTCGCTGAAATTAATTAAAACAATATAAAAAGGAATTTTGAATAAAATTAATGAAATAAGTTACAAACATAAGTCCAGATATACAAAGAACACTTTTTATAGCCAGACAGTGTAATTACATGAATAATTTGCGAACTTCAGTATGGATTTGTTGACATGGTATTTCCGGTGTTACGTGCTCACAGTAATGTCTTTCCATGGGGGAAAAAACATCAAAACTCATTAATTTGTGTATAATGCGCACCCCCTTCTACACAGCTGTGTTTTTTGGAAAAAAAGTGTGCACTATACTCAAGAAAATATGGTATTGTGTTTTGTGTTATCCAAGATGACAGACGTTTCTGAGCGAAAACGTGTATAACGAACAACGGATATATAACAAATTCATTCTCTGGTCCCTTGTAGTTTGTTATATCCGTGTTCTACTGTAATTAGAAATGATATTTATAATGACCAGATTGAGGGTAAATATTGACCAAAATGCATTGTAATAATAAATTATAATTTTAATGACCCGATTAAGTGTAAATATAGACCTGATTACAATGTAATTAGAAATGATATTAATAATGACCAGATTGAGGGTAAATATTGACAAATTTACAATGTAATAATGAATTATATTTTTAATGATCAGATTAAGGGTAATTGTAAACCTATCGAAAGTGTGTTCTGTGTTGTGATTGGCTAATTTGGGTCACATGACCAAATGTCAGAGGGTGAAAATATGATTTGAATTCCCTGAAGCAAGCGACCGAATCACTGTGTAGGAATACATAATTACTCAGCATTTTTTGCATACTAATTAACAATGGACGCAAATTGAAATACAAAATTCATAACAAATATTTTGATTTTCTCTATTCATGGGAATTATTGGGATTATTGAAATAATAACCAAAATCACAATCACCATAGCGACTAACTCGCTCCTGGCGAATCCTGAGATATCACTGTTCTGTATATCAAACGGCATAAATAAAAATCCAAGACCAAGCCAATTCTTCAAGAAATGTGTGCATATAATTTAACGAAAAATAATATCGATTTTGGTTAAGTTATATCGTCAGTTTTAGTTATAAAATAAAATGAAACGGCTATTCATGGACACTATTTATATGAACTTATAATACTGACTATAACACTCCCTAGAAATACATACAAGATGAAATGTAAATGTACCTGTCACACGTACACTTGTTCAAATTAAAGAAATATCGTATACGACACTTATCAAACTTATCAACTTCATATGTGAACATTGTTCAAACAAACATGAGATTATCAAACGTTCATATAATCTTGTGGCCTATATCTACGTATGATATCATATTGAACATTGATTAATATCCAAAGTGAAATTAATTGTGTGAAAAAAATGTACAAAAGATATGCAAGATCTACATCATGAAACAGTAAAAAGCAGTTAACAATGATCGTTTGTACTTTCATTCAAGGACCTTCACCTCAGAGAAATTACCAAATATGTAGAACAAATAATTTGAAGTTTGACATCACTACCGGTGACCAAATTTTACAAAATGGCGTGTTGACTGTCAACAGTGAGCGGGATTTTACGAGGGGACTTTCGTTGATTCAGGGTTCGTATATACATAAATGTGACATGTAAGTAATCAGAAACATTCTGACAATCTGTGTACTGTTTTTTGTTGCTGTATTTTTCATTGAAACCAATGAAATTGTCAGAAAATCTGATAAATACCGTTGTCGTTGTGCGTGATTTTGCGGGAAGGACGGGAACTTCGACAAGTTCTGTTGAAAATATCAAATTATTGCAATGTATATATGTTTAATTCCCTAATTCTTCCTACGATTCTCTTCCCGTGTATATTCTGAAAATGCAGATCTCGAGCCAATGTACTCAACGAATAGACGAATGGCTTTGTTTACATTTACAACAAGTGCAGTTTTTTCAGCGTTCGTTTTCACACCTCATTTATTTTGCTTCATTACATCTAGACAATTTGTATTGGTGACAAAGACCATTTGGCATTTGATTCTAAAATGTATGAGGAATTCAAGGATGTAGGTATCGCAGCTGAAATATACGTGATGGTATTTGCGTCTCATTACCGGTGTACGTTATTACCAAAATCGCAATCACCATAGCAGCGACAGAACGTTCAATGTTGACGCCTCACAACCGAGTAAGTACGAGGTGTTCAAGAGGGCGCATGTTTTTTTCTAAATAAAACAATAGGTTTACAATATCGATAAATACTATGTGTGTGTCTATTTCCGGGATTTTATCGAATATTTGCATCTTGGAAATTTTCATTCGAGCCCCTCAAGCTAACGCTTTCGGGTCTCGAGATGAATTTCCAAGATGCAAATACTCGATAAAATCCCGGAAATAGACACACACATAGTATTTATCTTCTAAATATAGACCAGATTACAATGTTATTAGAAATGATATTTATAATGACCAGATTAAGGGTAAATATAGACCAGATTACAATGTTATTAGAAATGATATTTATAATGACCAGATTAAGGGTAAATATAGACCAGATTACAATGTTATTAGAAATAATATTTATAATGATCAGATTAAGGGTAAATATAGACCAGATTACAATGTTATTAGAAATGATATTTATAATGAGTGAGTGAGTGAGTAAGGTTTTACGCCGCTTTTAGCAATATTCCAGCAATATCACGTCGGGGGACACCAGAAATGGGCTCCACACTTTGTACCCATGTCGGGAATCGAACCCGGGTCTTCGGCGTGACGAGCAACCGCTTTAACCACTAGGCTACCCGACCGCCCATATATATAATGACCAGATTAAGGGTAAATATAGACCAGATTAGAAATGATATTTATAAAGCTGGTGCTGTAACATCTGAACAACCACTGTCTTTGAAAGGTTAATTGCAAGACAGAAATGATATGTCCTTTAAGGAAATGTGAGTACAAGGTCATGGTTAAGAACTACAATTAGTCTTGAACATGAAATAATTGCTACAGTAAATTTGTTGTATAAATAGAGGTTATCACGCAAGTGTGTTTGCGGATGGTAAATATCCTGCAATAGGAATAAACATTGTATTTAGCTAAATACATTGTATTTAGCTAAATACAGTGTTTATTCCTAATACAGGATATTTACCATCCCCAAACACACAAGCGTGATAACCTCTTTATCATATAATGTCATGCTTTAATTCTGTGCTTTAAAATCGCTTTCCCTCTCTCACAAGCATTACCAAAATATTAAGAGTTTTCCTGGAATGCGTGCATTAATATTTATTATGTCACAGGGTAAGTGATGGGTCAGTCGGAGAGTGACAGTAGTCAATATAGTTCCAACTGAAATCTGTTTCTTATACAGTGGCGAAGCAACATATACTCAAAACAACAGTCGTTTTCAACTGCCTTCCGCGGCAATCCATCAGTCTGTCCGCTAGAGTAACTGCCCTTTGTCAAAGGGACGCTACTCTAACTCTAGTCTATGAGACGTCACGGCCACGGTCAGACGTTGTTGACAGTCGGTCTGTCCTGTCAAAATGTTAAGAAGCGTAGTCAAATGTACACACAGCGACAAAATGAAACAAGGTAACAATTCAAACATATTTCGGCCAAATCAAACTATTTTAATTTGTGGAGAAGGTTTCAAGCCGCAGAGGTCTACAACCACAGATATGGCTACTGATCCCGCTTGGCTAGGCCTCGTGCCCTTGCAAAATTGTTTCGAAATTTATATCTCCAAAGTTGCCAAAACTTATAAAATGCCTTAGCTACGTCACAGTTAGACACTGATTTTCAGTATATTAGACTGTTCTTTTGATAATGAAAGCAATTATCCCTGTAGTTTATCCAGATTCCCGATGGTTAATTCTGACTCGATCACCGAATGACGAGGGTAACAGTGAAAGTAGTCCTACTTGACCTTTGATATTTGCATCTCTATCCGCATATGACCCCAACGGATATCGTTTTTATCCGTTGGCTTTATCCTGCCAAGAAACCTACCAATTATATGATAAAAGGGATATATATGTATGTGAGTGAACTCATGGACTGCTTAAAACTAGCAACTGTAGCCTGTTTTCTTCACACTATTTCTTTGATATTCTGTGATCTGTGGGATGCTGGTATTTCACAAACATTGCCGCTGGAGCAACAAAACACTCACAGCTGAAGACAACGATGGCACGAACAGAGATGTATAAGCAGACTCAAACCATGGTAGACACCGACTTCCTCACTCACTCACTCACCTGTATGGAAGAAGCCTGCCTCTGTAATCACCTGTCTGTCCTGTAGTACGCTCCCTGGCAGTCTAGACACAGACTCACTCACTCACTCACTCACTCACCTGTATAGAAGAAGCCTGTCTCTGTAATCACCTGTCTGTCCTGTAGTACACTCCCTGGCAGTCTAGACACGGACTCACTCACTCACTCACCTGTATAGAAGAAGCCTGTCTCTGTAATCACCTGTCTGTCCTGTAGTACACTCCCTGGCAGTCTAGACACAGACTCACTCACTCACTCACCTGTATAGAAGAAGCCTGCCTCTGTAATCACCTGTCTGTCCTGCAGTACACTCCCTGGCAGTCTAGACACGGACTCACTCACTCACCTGTATAGAAGAAGCCTGCCTCTGTAATCACCTGTCTGTCCTGTAGTACATTCCCTGGCAGTCTAGACACGGACTCACTCACTCACTCACTCACTCACCTGTATGGAAGACGCCTGCCTCTGTAATCACTTGTCTGTCCTGTAGTACACTCCCTGGCAGTCTAGACACGGACTCACTCACTCACTCACCTGTATAGAAGAAACCATCGGCAATCACCTGTCTGTCCTGTAGTACACTACCTGGCAGTCTAGACACGGACTCACTCACTCACTCACTCACTCACCTGTATGGAAGACGCCTGCCTCTGTAATCACCTGTCTGTCCTGTAGTACACTCCCTGGCAGTCTAGACATGGACTCACTCACTCACTCACCTGTATAGAAGAAGCCTGTCTCTGTAATCACCTGTCTGTCCTGTAATACACTCCCTGGCAGTCTAGACACAGACTCACTCACTCACTCACTCACTCACCTGTATAGAAGAAGCCTGCCTCTGCAATCACCTGTCTGTCCTGTAGTACACTCCCTGGCAGTCTAGACACAGACTCACTCACTCACTCACTCACCTGTATAGAAGAAGCCTGCCTCTGCAATCACCTGTCTGTCCTGTAATACACTCCCTGGCAGTCTAGACACAGACTCACTCACTCACTCACCTGTATAGAAGAAGCCTGTCTCTGTAATCACCTGTCTGTCCTGTAATACACTCCCTGGCAGTCTAGACACAGACTCACTCACTCACTCACTCACCTGTATAGAAGAAGCCTGCCTCTGTAATCACCTGTCTGTCCTGTAATACACTCCCTGGCAGTCTAGACACGGACTCTCTCACTCACCTGTATAGAAGAAGCCTGCCTCGACAATCACCTGTCTGTCCTGTAGTACATTCCCTGGCAGTCTAGATGTAGACTCACTCACTCACTCACTCACTCACTCACTCACGTGTATGGAAGACACCTTCCTCCACAATCACACAGTCATAGCTGAAGACAATGATGGTGGCACAAACACAGACGTGAAAGGACACTCAGACCAACACAGACGTGACAGCAGGCGAGGAAGATAAGTAGAAGTACTACCCACCATGCCACTTACTGCATTCCTGAAATTGGCTTCAATGTCATCTACAAACTCATTCCCCTTCTGCTGACGGACGTAGGGGCATCGGGGAAACCACCGCGCGTGCTCAATCCAGGGGTCGTCATCCTCCTGCCAGTTCCGCAATGCACCTCCGCAGGAGAAACACCTGACGCTGTCACCATAGCCTGCATGTACACAATTACAGATGTCTCAGCAGATGACTGCAATGTCTTGTATATGTTTTTCTGAGTTACATATGTGTTACAGTAATTCATCTACGTTTCCAAAACAAGTGCATTAGATTTTGTTCACAAATTTGGAATTTCTTTATTTGATAAAATTCAGAAATATCACCTGTCTGTTCACTCCCTGACAGTCCAGACATGGATTCACTCAGTCACCCCCCCCCCCCCCCACTCACTCACTCACCAACCCACCATCCCACCCAGTCAATCGCCCACTCACCTGTATAGAAGAAGCCTGCCTCCGCAATCACCTGTCTGTCCTGCAGTACACTCCCTGGCAGTCTAGACACCGACTCCAAGCGGGTACCAATCTCCCCATACGCCGGAAACCGAACGCTCTCCAGTCGGAGAAGCAACCTTGGCCTTGCTGCCTGCTGTGTTGCCATGGGAACATTTCCCACCTCCCTACCCAGCAGGAATGGGCAGTCGGGGAAGTGGGTTCTGTGTTCTGTTTCTGGATCATCATTAGGGAGCCAACTCTTGAGGATTCCGTTACAAAAGACACACCTCACTCTGTCACTCGGTCCGATATAATAAAACCCCGTCTTGGCGAGTCGCTGGGGGTTGACTGCGGAGGCTAGAGGCCAGTGTTCAAATGTCTGGAGCCGAGCTGCTTCTAAATGCAATTGTTTTATGTCTGAAAAGTTCATCTTTTCAAACTTCTTCTGAATGAAACATCTTCTCCCTCATGAGGTTATTTGGGCTAGCTGTACATGATGTGAAATGTTCTTCTATCTGCAATAAAACATGAAACGTGGTAGATTATCAGTGACATCTGTGATCAAGTTCCTTGTAATAAATAAAAGTTGTAACTAGAAACTAGCCACATTTACATTTCAAAACCACAGCCCATTTCTGGTGTCCCCCGCCGTGATATTGCTGGAATATTGCTAAAAGTGGCGTAAAATCAAACTCACTCACTCAAAACCACAACATATGCTTTTGCTATTTTCAAGGTGTGCCAGTGTGAAGGTTACAAGCATTAAACTCCTATACTCAGTTCAATATCAAGTTGTCTGACACGCCACATGCTGCAGTCTTGAGAAATCTCTAAGAGTCTGCTTGCCAGCTTGATGTCATCATGGTTGACATGTTGCCATTGACCTGTCATTACACAGCTGGGACGCCTGTTATGACCAGCACAGGCTGCGTCGACCAACTCTAACCTGGAATACATATTTGGGACCAGATTAATCTGGAGTCTTTACAGGCATTGACAATTTGTTTATAATATTCTGGATACAATTTCTTTATTATCCCTCTCGGAACACATCATCAACAGCCCCAAGCACTCCATTTCCTGGCATCTGTTACACGCTATTGTCCCCTCATATACAGCCCAACTAGCTACTGAAAAGTTCTACACAGTGCCATTACCAGTCTAGAGGCACTAGTACATTACGGAAGTTTCTATAACATACTATCACCGTCCGCGGCATACCGGACTGGAAGCTTACACACCACACTTCCATCTAAATATAGAAACTTCCTGAAAACTGATCACTGTCGAAACACAATGTCATGAGCATCTCCCGAATCTCAACAGAAACAATGTAACAGTTACCGTGGTTACAATCATTGTTAAACAATAAAATACACTGCCATATAACACAACACACAAACTTCTAGGGGTGAAATGATACAGCAAGGTCACGATATGATACATATGGTAATACACTTATTTACGTCAAATTGCGTGGAAACTTCCTTATAAATAATTTGGAGCATGTTCTAAAGGAAATTCTAGCTGCAGACATATGCGTAGCTGCTATTATTAGCAGTAAACTTGGAACGTTAATGACAACACATTTTGCGATATTTGAATGACAAAATTGCTGGGGGTCATTAAACGAGCAGTAAGTTAGATATTTTAGCAAGAGTATCGTCTTGTATTGATACAGAAGAAAACCTATTGTCGATCGAATGTCGCATACAAACTTACAATGCACTGGCACACCGATTTATCATTTCACCCCTACTAACGTCCTCTGTACAAACATTACCAACTGGAGGGAGTGCAAATTCCAAGAAGCTATCAACATGAGACGAAGCCAAGCCATCAGTTAGTCGAGAGTACAAAGGACAGTATCTATATACTCACAGTGCAGTCAACTCTATCAATTCATTGAATCAGTTGTATAAACACAGTTGTGATAGTTGTATATAACATAACCTTGTACCCACTCTCCTATAACAGGCCTCAAAGTTTAAATTTTTACCAAGTAGCCATATGGCTACAAGTATTTTTTTCGAGATATCCTGTCGCAAAATCAAAAAGTCCGGCCAATATTGTAGGTAGCCAGAAGCATTTGAAATTATCTTTTTCAAGTAACTATTATAATATGTACAAGTTACAGCACTAAAGTACTCATGGAAATGAAAAAAACCTGTTTTTCTCAATTTAAAAATCGACACAAAGTGTAACGTCGCTGTAAATACGAAATAACAAAACAACTTGAAAAGTACTAGTCTGGATTTGCTAGTTTGATCTCAGTAAACAATACAAAATGTACTTTACAGGAGGTAATTTGTCGTCACTTTCAACATTCAAAAATAAATAAGTCCAAATTGACATAGCAGATATAGACTATAGGCATTATGCACCTCTTCTCGTCAAGGTGTCATAAGTCATGGACATTCACCTTGATCTACTTACACCTGGTTATGCTCTGTTTCACAATAGTCTCTTTTATTCACATTTTTAGACACTTTTACTTGTAAAAAGGCTTAAAAACCTTTGATAAGCTGTATTTGTGCCAAGGCCCAATTAGTACTAATTGAGTTGTTTGAACATTTACATATTTTGTATATTAACTGCATTTATTTAAGATCTGAGGTCGAAAAAAGTTTTTTTTCATTTCCGTGAGTACTTTAGTCTTGAAATCGTATCTTAATGGAAACTTTACTTGAATTTTGTTACTTGTGACTTGAACTTGTTGAACAATGATGCAATTTATATTACTAGATTATATAGGTATATCCTCGCTTATCCAATGAGCATTGCCAACTAAAATAAAGTACTGATTACATTAATTTTTATGTATTTTGGTTCATTGTCGACTTTAGAAGGAATTATTTGCGAGTACAATTATTAGCAGACGTGTTTTACAACATCAGCTGTTATTTAATTTGTGGCTACAGATGTGTAGCAATAACATTTAGTCGCCACAAGATATTTTTCTAGGTAGTCATTTGGCTACATCTGAATTTTAGACAGTAGACAAATTGAAAATTAGGTCGCATTGGCTACTGTTTTACTCGCAACTTTGTCCATCGACTCCCTCGTAATTGTATAACTTTATTCCTGTTACAACTGGCTTCACCTATAAACTTAGATGTATAAAATCATAACTGACTTCATTTGTACATCCATTCATACAGTCATACCTATACCCAAGAAACAATATGGCTGATAGCGGGGTGTTGTGCATCTATTTCACCCCAGAAACAACATGGCCGACAGCAGGGTGTTGTGCATCTATTCCACCCCAGAAACAACATGGCCAACAGCAGGGTGTCGTGCTTCTATTTACCTCCACTCTTGAGGTACCCTATCAACTACTACTTCAGTCAGGATTCCGGGTCAGAATAGGTAACATATGCTGGTCGTAAGAGGTGACTTAACCCTCTGGATGCCGAGTTATTTTTCTGACGCATATTTTCCTTAGATCGGAAAAGTGAAGGTAGTGCGAGAATTGCGCTCACGCCGCACTGGATCTACCTCTGGCTATAAAATTACGCAGAGGTGGAGAATATTAAATTCCCTATTTGATGGTGTAAAGTTAACTGCAAATATTACACCGGTTTTAAAAAAATACACTTCTAAGTGTTGTCCGAGAATTTATTCTGCGTTGAAAAACAGTAAATTTCTCCGCTTTTTATCGTACACCGATAAAAGTACTGTGCGACAATTTTTTTATTTAGAAATTTTACGGAAACTGTGAGCGAACAAAATACTGCCTAATACCTGAACCGCATAACTATATATATCAAATGGAGTTATATGAGTATGTGTAGCGACATACATTCAATGCCAAAAATAGCCTGCCCTAAATGACGAAAACTGATTTTTCTCTACAAGGTCAAAAGGCGTCAGAGAGGTTACACACGTACAAAGAAAAGGGGGCATAACTCCGCTATGCTTAGCACTAGTCCATTGTAACTCGGGTCACTTGGTGAGAATTAGCTGTGGGTGAGGATAATATATTTTCGTGGTGTTTTGTTCACGGGGAACCAAACTATTCCAACACAAATATCGATAAAGAAACTGTCTACGTTTAGTTATAAAAAAACACTATAAGAAATGATGACATCGTACTTTATAAAAAAAGAGGTAATAGAGAAATGGATGGCCCTATCTAACCTTTAACTTAGTCCTTAGATTCCAAAATTCTCCTGAATGTGTAAGTGTAATATGACTAATGTTGCACCATTATTAATGGAGCACTAGCCTTATTATCAAATGTAATGAAATACCCCAAAACATAACACCATTCTCTTTGACGTCATGGCTGGTTTTATGTCTTTGATAACGTCGGACAAAGACGACAATGGTATTTTGATTAATATATATCTCCCCTAATTTTCGTTCATGGTGTGGAAAATCTCAAAGTGTATAACGGAATTTGACGCTTTTTCAACACAACATAAAATGAATGCTTTCACCAAGTAATGTCTTGAATATGTAAACAATTAGATAGTTTACCGTGTATCTTAATTGGACAAGACACGCACCTGTTTGGCATCAATGTACGTTATGAAATACCCAAAAGAATATTCAATAGTGGACACATATTTGTTCATTACTATGTTATTATTTCTCGTCATCTCGTCTCAGAATTTCACAATAAAACATGCGAAGAAAGCTCTATTGGTATAGAATTTACAGGATACTCGTTAAAGGTTGAATGTATGGCCGGAGTACCTGGCATGGATTTTATTTTTATACATTTTACAATTCCTGGAGAAATAAAGTAAACAGTTTAATATCCTGTGATCACAATATTGAAAAAAGAATGAACCCATTGATGATAAAATGCAAAACGAGAGGAATAATTCGGAAATTGTTTGTGACTAACACGCACCTGGCGAATCGTTAGATATCGCTGTTCTGTGTATCAAACCACATAAAAAAACAATTCCAAGACCAAGACAATTCTTTCAGAAATGTGTGCATATATTTTAACTAAAGATATTATCCATTTTGTTAAAGTAATATATTCAATTTTAGTTATAAAATAAAATGAAACAGCTATTCAGGGACATTGGTTATATGAACTTATGATATTGACTATTACACATCCCAAGAAATACGTACATGCTGCAGTTACATTTACACTTCATCTTGTAACACTTGTCCAAAGGAAAGAAATATCATATTCGACATTAAAAACCTATCAATTCTTATGTAAGCAATGTTCAAACAAAAAGGAGATTATTAAAAGTCTGTTCATACATGTTGTGGCCTATACTTACGTATGATATCATTTTGAACATTGACAAATGTCCAATGTGAAATTAATTGTGTGAAAAAAATGTATAAAAGATATGCAAAATCTACATCAGAACTGAAATTGTAAACAGCATGGTACAATGATCGTGTGCACTCTCATTCAAGGACCTTCACCTCAAAGAAATTACCAAATATGTACAACAATGTTTGACACATGACATCACTACCTGTGACCGACTTTTACAAAATGGCGTGTTCACCGTCAACAGTACGCGGGATATTACGAGGGGACTTTCGTTGATTCAGGGATCGTGTATACATAAATGTGACATGTAAGTAATCAGAAACATTCTGACAATCTATGTACTGTTATAATTTTCATTGAAATAAACCGAAATCGTCAGAAATTCCGATAAATACCGTTGTTGTGTGCGTGATTTTGCGTCAGTCATGGCGTCACACAGGACGGTAACTTTGCAATGATTTGATATTTTCAACAGAAATTGTCAATGTATCTATATTAAATTCCCTAATTCTTCCTATGATTCTCTTCCCATGAATATTCTGAAAATGTTGAGCCAATATATTGAACGAATAGACGAATGGATAGCTCAAAATAGGAGAAAATGCTACACTGTGTAAAATCTGTATTTTGCTTTGTTTACATTTCAAATAAGTGCAGTTTTTCGAGCACAGTGTTCGTTTTCACACCTAACTTATATTGCTTGATTTCATCCAGCCACTTCGTATTGGTGACAAAGACCATTGTTCATCCGATTCTAAAATGTATGAGGAATTCAAGGATGTTTGTATCCCAGCTAAGTTTGAAATATACGTGATGTTACAGGCGCCTCATAACCGGTGTACTTGAAACGTGATTTTGTAAACACTATCCAACATGGCGGAAATTTCACTTCGGCGTTCGTGTTTGCGTATTTTCCAAAACATTCTAAACGGTTCCAGGGTTATCGGAGACGTTTCGGAATGATCATTGGTGGTTTCATAAAGGACAGATACTCGTGATCACTAATATGCTATTTTTTAAATTCATTTCTCCGTGTAAATTTCCAAAATTTAGATTTCAAAACATGCTGTAAATAACGCCGTGAGTGGTGATTTAGTAATGTGTAAAAAATGGCAACATTTACGAAGTACCTAATTTTCAGAGGTCATTTTTAGTACTTTTGCTTGGTCTAAAATGCCAATGGATGATATCACAGAACAGGGAATCTCCTAACTTATTCAAAACTGTGAAGTGTATTAGTGTGCATGATGTATTTTGAATTTTATTCGACTTCAAAGTGAGGGTTGTAGAGGAAGGACATATATGTCCCTCTGGCATCCAGGGGGTTAATCGCCCTAGGTGATAGCATGTTATTACAAGTACCATGACCATCTATTAATATCAATCACTGAATTGTCTGGCCTCTATTATCTACCGGCCACTGTGAGGTCGAATGAATATTGCTGAGTTCAGCATTAAACAAACAATTTACAAACAAACTAGGAGGGAGGATCTCAATGTTGTTTACACTTTCTGAGGATTGATTGAACACCTGGCAATTGATTGTTAGGGTGATTTAAATCACAGGGAATGAAAGTAACCATTAGTAGTTTGGAGATATAGTCTAGTAGTGGTGATCTTCTAAAAACTGTGAAATATTTCTCCATTTCCTAGCTTCCCATGTTTGCACCTGTTATCTTTGTTGATTATGGTCATGTGTTATGGAGAGCCTGTCAATGTTTCTTAACCAGCTGGTAACTAGGCATATTGCGGATATATCTGTGGATGATAATAACATCTGTTATTTAGTCTTGTGTACGACACATATCGTCAGTACAATGACATAGCTGGGAAACGGTTTCCCATCACGTCAACAAGTATCGAAAACGAAATGCCTCAAAGGGGATTCCCCGAGAACTCCAGCACTCTGTGTGGGACCAGCTCTCATGTTTCACACAAACCTAATCTGAGATTACTGGTCTAGTATGCATTCATTCATGTGCTTACTGTTCACTTACATAATAACACAGTGCCGATGTTGCAAATACATCCCTGCGGTCACCGTTTCAACAAATTCGTCTGATTCCGGGACAAGGAAACCTGCGATGGATCAGCCGAGTAGACTGAGCTCCTGTCTAACTATATGCGAAGATTGAAAGCGTCCGGCTTGCGTCGCGTATCTCAGTCAAACCAGTTTATTGCCAATTATTGTGATATTAGAGACGGGGTCCAAGTTTGATAAGCTTAATAGCTGGTTCTCGGCTCCTTATGCGCGTCGTCAACTTGCGCAAATTGATAGATGGGACAAACGCAAGCTCCTCACAGCGATAGTACGTTCCCGGAGCTCTCTATACTATCGCGATGTTACCGAGAGTGTAACGAAGGTGTCACGCGCTGGGAAAGAGCTTGGGGACCCAGGTTCTGCTTGGGGCCTAAACCCCAGACCTCGATTAAATGTGGCATGTAATGTCAAGGAGTTTAAATGATTTTTCACCACTAAACTGGTTCCTCTATTCAATTTGGTTTGAGCAACAAGCCGAGCGCTTTAAATAGCCTCTTCATTTTGATATAGGGTCACCCAAAGGAAATTCACCACTTCACAATATTCCAGTGCAATCTCATTTTAAAATCAGATCTCAGTGCTCGCAACCGATAGAACTAATCGCAGTCGCTAGAATATATGATATTGCATTCTAGCGCGGGTATGTATTCTAACGCCAAAGAGTAGTAATGTAGTAAAACAACTTTAAAATATTTGACAGTAAGATAATTCCAATATTGTGTTATGGTGCAGACATTTTTTGGAACTTCATTCAAAAACTTCATAGAAAGTACGCAACCTTATTCCGCAAAACCTTTCTCAGATTTAATAAGAAATATCCCCAATAACATGGTTCTTGGAGAGTGTGGGAGACTCAACTCTTCAATATATCTAATATACCTAAGAGCAAGAAAAAAACTACTTAAGACTACTTAATTCACCTTATCAACAAAAGACTACATACCAGGCTTACGTCATGCTAAATTCTCTTGATGAGTGAGTAAGTTGGGTTTAACGCCGCTTTTAACAGTACTTCAGTTATATCACGGCGTGTCAGCTGAATGTCGGAGGAAATAAGCCCGAAGTGATGCAGGTCTCAGACGTTTACCACGTTGTAATAAAGAAGTTGTTCATCCATAAATTTCTTATCCTTACTTAGTACTCCAACTTCTAAATGCCTATCAAACAAGTTTACCACGTTGGTGAAACCGACGAACACGGGAATGGTGCTGACAAACCTAGAAACATAATCTGAGCGAACGGGGTTTCGAACCCAAGATCATATGTTTCTGGCGTGCCCAAGGGACGCAACTCTGCACAGCGATTAGGCACCCCATACATTATTGTTTTGCAGATCGATGTATTGCCGGCTACTCCGATTTGAATTTTAAAAAATGAAAACCGAAAGACAAATCAAAATATTCAATAAAATATCAATCCAATAGTTTATAGGTAACTTGGAGCAATGTAAACTGATACTGAGGGTTGGGAAGAACAACAATGTCACGTCGGCCACTCGCGGAAGCAGTGTTGACGTCCTAAAAAACAAGAATTAAAGGAGTACTGACATTATTAAAATGATCCTTTAAAGAAGATGAATGATAATATTTATCCCTTGTGAGAGAAAAATCTACACAGTCAAGCAAAACATGCTTGACCGTGATTCTCTCATCACAAGGGATACAGAATGGAGGATCTTCAGCTTTTAACAAATATTCGTCTGTATAACGAGAATGGCCAATACGACATCGTCGCATACTGACCTCTTCAAATCTGGACTGACAACCCAAGTAAGTGTATAACCATTTTGGTAACCGATGGTTTGTTTTATTGCATGTAGCGTATTTACACCTACTTGGGTGTCCCACTTCTTTTGCATTAGAGCACGAATGTAAGATCTAATCACAGGTTTAAAGTAAGTGTGTGGGATCAGAAGTGGTGTCACAGATTTGTTGAGTGCTGTTTTTGCAGCAGAATTGGTCATTGTGTTACCAATGATATCAACATGGCTTGGTAACCAACAAATTTCAACTTAGTATCTTGAAATTTCAACTTAGTACTCGTATCTTGAAATGTCAACTTCTGTAGCTTGAAATTTCAAGAAAATATCTTGAAATTTGAACTTAGTATCTTGAAATTTCAACTTAATATCTTGAAATTTCAACTTAGTTTCTTGAAATTTCAAGATAGTATCGAAAAAAATTAAAAATACAAATGGCTCTAAAAGGCTTCCGTATTATCTTGAAAGTTAATGTTAGCAGCAGAAACGACAGATTTAATTTTTATTCCAAGTGGTGGAACATGAGATGTTTTCTTATTTTAAATATTTTCGTAAGAGGATTAAATACGCAATTAAAAGCTGGATTTGACTGATATAATTTAGTGACGTATTGTAAAGATAGTTTCAGACGGCGTTGTTAGAGAGAAGGCTCATCCGCCTCAACAGACATACTTGGAATAGGTGAAGTCCGAAAGGCTCCAAGGCAAAGCCTCAGTGCTTGGTGATGGATAGTATCTAGTTTTTGTAAATTACTTTTGCAGGCTCCACCATAGACGACGGAGCCGTAATCAAGTTTTGAACTGATCAGTGACCCGTATAAGTGTAAGAGGGTTGTCTCATCCCCTCGCCACTTGGAATTAGATACAACTTTCAACAAATCGAGTGCCTTCAGATATTTAGCTTTAAGTGATTTACTATGTAGTAAGAAAGTCAAATGGCTATCAAAGATGAGTCCCAAGAATTTTGCTTCCTTTACAACTTTGATAGGGGTGCCATTCAAAAATAGTTCGGGGTCTTTATGCGGCTAATATTTTCTGCAGAAATGTATACAGTTAGTTTTAGATTTAGAAAATTTAAACCCGTTTTTGAGAGATCACTTGCTAATTTTATGTAGACATATTTGTAACTGCCTCTCTATTGTATACATATTTTTCCCACGACAAGACAGATTAAAATCATCCACAATTGGACAGACTATTAATTTTATACTAAATAAAGTGACAGACAAAATACTGCCTTGTGGGACACCCTGATCCTGATAATAATGGTCAGACACGGTTGTACCCACTCGGACTTGAAATTGCCTGTCTGTTAAAAAGTGAGATATAAAATGAGGTAAACGACCTCTCAAGCCCAAATCATGTAAACCTTTAAAATGCCATGCTTACAGGTAGTATCCTATGCTTTCTCAAGATAAAAGAAAATTGATACCACGTGTTGTTTAAATACAATAGCATTTTTAACAAAGGATTCTAACCGTACGTACTAAATGATCAATAGTAGTTCTTTTTTTCCGGAAACCACACTGAATATTTGTGAGAAGGTAATTGGTTTCGAGATAACAAGCTAATCTATTATTCACCATTCGTCCCATGGTTTTGGAAACACAACTAGTTAACGATATAGGGCGATAATTTGAAGGATCTGTGTGATCCCGGCCAGGTTTTCGTATGGGGACTACAATGGCATTATGCCACGAAGGAGGAAAATTCCCTGAAGTCCATATTTGGTCAAAAATATCTAAAAGTGTCTCAAGACATGATTTAGGCAAATGCTTTAATAACTGATAGTGGATATTATCATCCCTTGCTGCAGTATCATGAACTTGCTCAAGAGCGGTACGTAGCTCATGCAATGCAATGATTTCATTGTAATCTTCACCATTGTTAGAATCAAAATTAACTTTTTTCTTTTCCTGTTGTTTCTGATATCTCATAATTTAATGATGAAGAATGTTTGGCAAGAGTTTCGCCAAGTTTATTCACAATATCAATTTTATCAGTTATAAATTTGTAACCGTGTTTAAGATGGTGATTTGGAACCTTTGCCTTTTATTCTTTTAATCATGTTCCATACCTTGGTGCCCGTGACATGGGTGCCCGTGAATTAATATTGGAGATAAAGTTCCTTCAAGATTGTCGCTTATTTTGTTTACAAGCACGTCGTGCTTTAGCATTAGTAATTTTAACATTATTCAAATTATGAACAGTAGGGTGTTTGCGGAAATACTTTTCCGCTTTCTTCCTACACTTTCTTGCTTGTTTGCAGTCGTTATTAAACCATGGTTTACGAATATGAGGATTTGCAGAGGACTTAGGAATTGTTTGACCAGCACTATGATTCAGTTTAACTGAAAACAACTGTATGGGTACATTTCTGAAATTGTCAGGCTTTATTTTTTCCGTACAAAAATTTCATACAAAGACAAATTTGCCTTTGTAAAATTCCACCGCGGCGAAGATGGGCCATCATCTGGTTCTACAGCTTTTGGAACAGTAGGAAAGTGATCACTTCTACAAGGGTCGTCATGTACGGACCATCTGAATCTGTAACGGACAGATCAAGTGCAGAATAAGTTCCGGTGGCAGGATGTCAATATGTGCTTGAATCGTCATTAAATATACATAAGTTGTTATCAGATGCATAATCTTCAATGATAATTTCGGTTTGCAACAGATAAAAGACTCCCGTAAGTGTTCAAATGGTTTAAATTGCCATACTGACTTCAGAAAATGCGTGATTTCATAAAAAAACATGAACATGCCATAATGTCAATTTACAAATCAATAGCGTGTGTGTACACCTCTGGTTGCGATGCAAGCAACACATCTACGTCTCATGGAATGGACCAGGCGTCGCACAAAGTCCTGTGGGATATCTGTCCATATCTGCTGGAGCATGTTTTGAAGTTCCTTGAGTGTCTGTGGAACACGTGCTTGACGTCGAAGGCGCCGATCCATCTCATCCCACATGTGCTCGATTGGTGAGAGATCAGGGAGCGAGCCGGCCAGGGGATGACATTCACGTTGTTTTGTTGAAGAGAATCCTGAACAAGTTGAGCAATATGAGGCCGGGCGTTGTCATGTTGAAAGGTAATGCCTGGGCCATGACGACGGAAAAACGGTAGAACAACAGGGCCGATTATCTCGTCGCGGTAGCGCTGTCCATTGAGATTTCCCTCTACCACTATCAAACGGGTCCTCTGTCTTGCTGTAATCCCACCCCATACCATAACGCTGCCGCCCCCGAACCGGTCTTCTTCCATGACACAATGATTGACGTAACGTTCACCTCGACGTCGGGACACTCGAATCCGTCC